ATAGCATTGTAAACGAATGAACAGGGTGGAACCTTAAATGTGAAGAATAAAGGTTATTCAGCTGTTCCAAGCATTTTATGCCTTTTATCAAAAGCTGAGAAACTGCATAGTACAAAACATAAAGCGCAGCTGAATAGAATAACTGTATACATGAAAAAACCACTTGATTTTATTCGACGATCGATGTTTCAACGACCGGATACCCGCATTTTATTTGATAATCAACATGATCCGAATGGTAATTTTTTCATCGGTTGAGTATTATATTAAGAATGCATTACACGATCAGATACTGCAGGCAAATGCTTCACCACCAACCGTTTGCCGACAAGAAAACGTCAACTACAAGTCGAAATATTAATGCTGGTCAAGCATTCGATGGACCACAAGTTTGTTTATTAATACATCGTTGCTATGTTGTTTTTCCTACCTAACCCAATCAGTATATGTTAGTGGCATGTAGGAAGGTAATGCTTTTTACTTTCAACAGCAGAAAAAAATAGTACGTAATTAATATGGCATGCACATGAATACATTTTGATACAGAAAGATCCATGAGAGTTCCAAGTTGATAAGGTATGCTTGATTGATGTACAGTTTGAATGTAAAAGTGATAAAATATTTTCTGAGCAAATTAATAGAATGTCCGCTTATTGTCAAACAAATAGCAAGATATCAGCGACTGATGCACCGTGAGCTATTCGAATGACAGATCTTATTTGGAATCAGACTTTAGTTTGAGCTGTAATGTGATTCAATAAATTGTGTACGAGTTGTAGTTGGGCCACGTGTATGATATTAGAGAAGCTTTAAACGGTGAGGGTCACAGAAATGGGATTCTCACGGATTATAGATCAAAATTGTTATTCACTCTTTAGAAATATGCTCAATCATCAGAGAAATGAAAAGCGTTTGTGTAACATGTTTTGCTCAGCCGATTAGGTCTCAAGACCCTCACTGATGGGATTGTATTAAGAATACAATTTTGTTATCAAGGATTTCCTTATCTGATGATTAGTTCAGTAATGCCCATCCCACGTGAATGAAGCACGCATGGGTGCGGCTATATTTCTAAACAAGACATGGTAATTGTGATTTCTTTCTTTATTCACAAAAAAAGGTTGTACTCAAAATTTATAGTTCGAGCTGCCAAAAGTTCTGAAACTGAATTTGATTTTAGTCTGTTCATTGTTGTATAGTAAACATCGCGCTTGTTACCTTCACATAACTTGTGCGACTTTCCGACAGTACCGATCTATCGTCAGTGATTTCATTTCTACCGCATTATTTGTTTCCTTTTTAACTTATTTCTTTGCATCCATCTTCACTCGTATGCTCCTCAATCAAATAAAATTCACTGCCAATCTTGGTTAACCACCTTTGCAGTTTATATTCATTTCTGAACGAAGCAACGTGCACAAAGCCGCGGTTGAACTTCAGAACTGCACTTTACACTCCAATGAACTGGATAACCGAAGCAGTGACAGATTTCAGTCACCGGCCAAGTGTAAAACTACGGTGCGTGTTATCTTGTTCGACGACTTCAGTCCTGATCTTAATTTTCGAATACGACATATTACTCTTGTGATGGCGAGCTCCGCTCAACAGAGCTTTGCACTGCGCGCAATAATAGTTTTTGAGAATAAATCAACGATCCCGAATTTAAAGTACAATATTTCCGGTCGATGTATTGTCCTTTTATGCTGTTTTTGAATTACCATTATCAATGCACGTGCCTTTGTTTAACATGTTATCCTAGATCGTTCAGCTAATAGCCATACCAGTTGGTATATTGATAGGCACGGTGTGTGGCCTTGTTAAGGCCAATTAAATCCATAATGCCGGCAGTCATATGCAGCTGTAAATCGACAGGCACGACACGTTTATGTATGATATTAGCATAATTGATTTGTGACATTTGTAGGCGACAATAAACTCGTAAGCTCAAGGGTTGCGTTCTTGTGACCATAGAACGCCAAAGGTCGTTTGTCGTAAACGCTATTCCCACGGTCAGACTCTTGTCGCCTGCTATGTAATAATATTAAACAATGGTTGAATTTGATAAAAAATTTAATTTAACGGAGCACTTGCAGTGATTGTAACGCTTTCTATTGTTTAATCAAAAAATAAGGTCGACTAAGAACTTTTGGCCATGACGGCCCAAACCTTGCACGGCGAACTTTCCAATGACAAGTAGGCACAACGAAAGAAAGCAATAAAATCATCGCCGTATACTTCAACGCTGCAATGCGCATGACGGAAATAATCAAAACCAAGAAAGGGTTGAGGTAATTAGACTCAGCAGTATCGAACTCAGAATTTTTCTATAAATTCGCGGTTCTTGCGAAAATCGTAAAGAGTATTCACTTTCTCAGCAATGCACAGGGTATCAGAGCCGGTGTAGTCCAAAAGATCTTTGGAATCCTGAAATTGCCGGGCGAATTATAAATGACGTAGACAAACTATATGACAAAATATGCACCGCTTTGCTGCCGCTGTATCCGAAGGAAACTAAGAGACGACGGTCAACCGGGTTGTGTTTGCGGAACCCTGAAACGTCGACATTTTGCATTTGACGAGAAATGTAAAAAAAAACTTTGAGAAAATAACCTGTCAAAGCGCTGACCAACGTGCCAAAGAACACTGCGATGACGACGCCAATGAGACTATAGTATTGGTACGACACGCGATACAGGTTCGTTATTCCGCTGAAACGACATCAATAGTAAAACTTGCATACAACCGAAATAAGCAGGACATGATAAATGTACAGAAAAAAAGTATTGTATATCATACTGTATATACCATGTGTCAGTCTACATTATACGTTATAGTAATTTAATCATGACTAATAACAGAGAACAGTTACAAGTTATTTGTTTACCACATTTATGTAAATTTCGTTTGACTAGATTCGCATAATGTAGTCGCACTTACCTCCTTGCATCTGTCGCTTACCAAACCTACAAACGGCTCGCGGCTCCATGGCCTTATACCTAGTACATAACATGCCTACGATCCGATATACTTTTCCTTCGAACATATCATTATCTGACCCAACAAAGTGCTGCCGTATTGCAACCACATGATGGAAATGCTATAGCATCATGGAACAATGATCCGCCTAAATGGCCCGTAAGTCACTAGAATCGTTAGAATGTCGGCCTTTTTTACAGCTTTATGATGAGGGTATTTCTGGCAGCTTTCTTTTCATGCAGTGAATAGCGGGGCGCTGATTTCTATTTCCATGGCATCAGCCAAGTGTCTTATTTTAAAGGCAGAGTCAACAACAGCTATGTGACATGTATGTAGTCTCGTGTTCCTTCACGCAGAGTGGTAATCATTTATCGACCGTAGAAAGAAGAAACGAGAGTGACTTGACGGAAGCTCGAACCTGAGTCCTTGCGGTTCTGGCCTGACGCTCTACCGACCGAATAACCTCCGGCTAAAACTACGCATGGTAAATTTATTGCTCAAAGGAACTCGCGGTAATGACAAAGATTGGGTACTGCGGGAATCGAACTGAGCACCCTTGGAGTTCGAGTTCGAAGCTGCCAACTTAGGCACTGGGCCACCACTCTACATATATTTATATATTAACAGAAGATTACATAAAGGCACTTGATTACCAAAGTGGAATTTGATCCGTAACGATACATTCCAGCAATTAAAGCAAACTAATTGACCAACAAACATAATAAATAATTGTGATGCATACATTCTTTGCATTAAATGTTCATCCCTATAAAAAATATTAAAAATTCAAATTTACTGCTTTACTGCTAAAGATCAAGCGGCAAAATATTTACCCGGGATCATTGTTAATTACGGTATAACCACATGTCTGGTCGCATTGAAATATTGCAGAAACGTTGTCGTACATCGCTGTGCAGTTCAAGGTGTCGTTCGTATGGCAGTCGCAGCCCAAAGCGGTAACCGGCATTATGACCGGTCTGACGCCACTGAATATCGCCCCAAAACCGACGTAAAATGTGAATGCAACGCTGACGCACAGCCCAACCAACGCCCCCTGCCGTGTAGACAAAAAAGCACGTGATTTTCTTCATTAAACAAGAAATGACAAGGATTTACTACCTTCGCGTTCGTCCAGCTGAAAAACATTCCCAAACAAAACACGCCAAGCAGGGGGCCACCAACCATTCCGAATATGCTTAGAGCCATCTGAACACGTCGAATGAACAGCAACAAAACACGGAATAATACGAAATAAGTTATAACGAATAACGGAGAAATAATTATTACGTAAGTAAATCTTGCGCATCACCGTAATCGCTTCTCACTCACTCACTAGGAGACGGGAATTGCTCAGTCGGTTGAGCGTATGAATCACAACCGAGAAATCCCTGGCTTGAGATCCGGTGAGTCACTCGTCTTTCTTCCTTTCGAGGTTGATAAGTGAGTACCACTTAGTGGGAATAAAACAGGATACTATACACTACGCTTGCCACCTAGTTGCTATCGATTCTACCTTAAAAAATACTACACTTACGACTGATGGCATAAGAAATGGAGATCAGCACTGCGCCATTAATTTCATGAAAACAAAAGCATTAGAAGTAGATCAGTCATGAAAGTGTAAGGAAAACGCGGACATTCAAACTGTTAGAAACTTTCCTTCATTTTTACTCTTGCTCGCTATCTCAACAAACATGAGCAGTCGTTCTGCCCAACTGAACACAAAAAAAAATAAATTGAGATCTCGAATAACAATGACGATCTCAAACGATGTTCAGCACGCGTTTCGTCATGTTGATCTCAATTCACAGACATCTTTACGAGCAGATCGTTTACTCCAGCATTATTCGCTTCATACTCATGGATTCCCTTACTTTATTTCGATAGAAAAAGCCATTACTGTCGTTCAGCAACTGTTCTGGTTGTTTCATTCATATTTATTAATTTTACCTCAAATCCGGTAGTTTCATTTGGGTGTCACTGTGAAGCATCTGTAGCTACTGTACACCAATGAAAGTTGGTTGAAAAGCACTAAATCGGCGATTTTATTGAAACGCAGGAAATTTAAACTCAAGAAATCCCTTTCACTTCAAATCTGACGATGCATAATCATATCAAGTGCCTGACAACAATACCGTACGGAGCTTTCTTTCGCAATCAGGCGTAAAAGGTTCTACGTCCGCTGTCACGCTATCAGAACAGTATTTTCGGTCTGGCACGTGGCTATGAGTCACATACGCAAGAGCTTCCACCCACCCCATTTTTTTCGATTACCTTGGAGATTAAGAAGCCTCACTCTGAAGGATCGAATTTTTATTGATGGCATCGAAAAACCCTAACATTTTCATACTAATAATAGAAGCATTCACCCTGTGCATGGAAATTTTTCCTGATACTCCTAACACGGCTTTTTCTCACGAGCGGCATATGACAACTGCAAAGTGCAGCGCCTTCATAACTGTGATCAGAAGTAACGATTCTGCAATACATCGTTTCATTTTTGTTGCATTTCTTTTTTCTCTTAATCTTAAAAATAAGTTACACTGGTAGGCGTAAAATGGGTGATGATAACTGTGCTCTTTCCTCGTACTTAACGATTATGACTGTGATAACCTTCACAATGTTATCAG